TTGTTGCTATTGCAGATACTACTGCTGCCTTTGTTTAGATTGGAATTAGGGAGCTGATGATGCATGAGCCATTCCATTGATGAGCTCACTCCAACACCGCCATCAGGTGTGTGTTTTGCACTGTGTGTACTACGAGTAGTATATGGAATTGTGTATCTTTTCCCGATCACATGACTGCGTGAAGAAGCGTAAGCACTTTCTGTTTTTCTTCGCACAGTGAAATATCTTTAGATTAATCTGCATGGAAAACTATCAGCTACAAAGACCTTCTTATCATTCTTATTAAATTATTTTAAATTCTTTTTAAATATAACAAAGCTCCGATAAAAAAAAAACTAATTTATTTATTAATTGGCTATACAACAGATCTGTATAACTAGTTCAATGCTTTAATCTAAAATATAGCATATTTATCTTGCCAATTGCGCTAAGTAAGAAACCAGTTTTATCACTAATTAAATGTGATTACCAGATTAGCTCTATCTAGAACAACTAAACCAATTCGATAACGGACTTGAATTACTATAACTGACCTGGTTTGATAAGTTAGCTCTTGACTTTTCCAACTGCTTTAAGATTACAAACTCAATCAGAAACTTCGGCACTTTTAATAGTAATTGCATTCGATTGTGTTTCCTTTTCTGGCTAAAATGCCCAATTTGGAAAGCGAATCCCCAAAGATATTAACATTGACCCGTAATTACCTTATATGGATAGCGATTTTAATTAGATTCTCGACTTTGAACAGCTGCTTTCGGGCAGTAAACAGTGGGCAGCAAAAGTAATGGCAAAGGCAAAGAGAACAATCTCTTCACAGATCTGTCAATCGAGATGGCTTTATAGTTTTGCAACGCACTGTCGGCCGTATGTGGGGAATATTTTATGGCATGATTCAGCTAACGATTTCCGCTGCCAACGCTCTCTCACATGGGTGCAGTTTTTCCCCGGTGCTCCCACTGCTCCTCCAGCTCCCCACCACCCAATCCGTTTATCATCATCTCGGTTCCATAGTACCATAGTACCAGAGTCCCATAGTCACCATGATGATCTGATCTCCGTGAGCTGTGGGCTGTGGGCGTGGGCCGCCTGCCGCCTCCTTGTCGAGATCGTGCCGCAAACATCGCATTAACTGGCTGGTCGGGGCTAAAAATATATCTTTGCTGCATATTTGATGGGCTTGCACCTTCCCTTCCTCATCGGTTTGAAAATAAATGTTTGCCAAAAACAAATAAATTTTTTAAATGAGATAATTAAATAAGATAAATTTAGAATTTAACTTATACATTTTTTAAAAGATTTATCGAATAGACTAGTTTTGATATTTCCAAATATCAAAGTTAATGAAAGAACAAAAATATGTTTATTATTACTTTACAATACAACACCAATTTAAAGCGTTTCTCGTTTATCTTTTATAAGGGATCATAAAGAAGAGGCTACAATTGTCTATAATATAAGACTTCGTATATTCAATTTTTATTATTATGGCCTAGACAATTTTTAATCAGCCTTTTCAGTTACACTAAAAAGTGGTTTATTTTACCACTTAAAAATTAAAATCTTCAGGGCAATGTTTTTTATTTATTTAAGACACCAATTTAAAAAGTTTTTCGTTTATCTTTTATTGGTGATCATAAATAAGAAGCTCAAGAATTTTCCATAATAAAAAGATTTATATATTTTAATTCTTTAATTTCAATTTTCTCTTTACTTTAAACAAGTTCAGAATAACTTCTTTATGCTTTTTTTTTTTTTTATCTGGCCTTAAATTTCTTATCTTATAAAATAAAACAAGAAATATTCGAAAAGGCATGTTTGGAATAATGTCAATTATGATTGGAATCAGTTCTTATTTTTTTTTGTTTTGGCCAATCGTTTATGATTGGAAATATTATTTAACGATGCTGCATCTTTGTGCGTTCGAATGCGGGCCTTATAGGGCCAGTGTTCCTGTGACTTCCCCTTCGTGTTTGAAGAGTTTTCACATAAAAATGGTTGTTTATTGCAACCAGCTAACAAACACATACGCAGACGAGATTGCTTTGTTCTGGGCCTGCCAGCCAGAATCAGTTTTTTACTTTTTTTTATACACTTTTCGGGTTTTGCTGAGTGGCAAGCGCGTGCACTTGGCGCCAACTTGGAGCCGCCACATTGCCTTGCCCCTCGAGCGGCACAAAAGCAAAACAGCTAACCGAAAGAGGCAACAGTTTGATTTCGAAGCGCGACTGGTCCCCTCTTACCACTTTCCCTTCCCTTCCCTTCCTTTCCTTTCCTTTCCTCTCCGCCGGCGGATGCCACTTGTTTGTCCGCGGTTCGTTTCATAATTTGGCTGCCTTCTGCATTTTTTTTTTTTTGGTCTGGTCTGGTAAGAAATTCATAATTTGTCTGCACCGCAACAGGCTACCGTGCTACGTGGTCTTCGTTCCTTTATTCTCTCGGATTTTTTCTTACAAGAGAATATACTTTAAAGAAGCCACAGGTATTTGCAAATAAAACTTGGCAACATAGGTTTTATTGAAAACGAAACAATTTATAGTAAATAGATTTTTCCTGCACTAAAATATTTTAAAGAAGCAACCTGCCTGCTTATATATCTTAACAACATAGGTTTCATTGAAAACCAAACCATTGGTATTATATCGATTTTTCCTGCAAAAGAGGTTTCATTTCCTGCAAGAGATGTAGAAATATATTTAAAAGAAGCAACAGGTATTTGTAAAAACAACTTGGCAGCATAGCATAGGTATCATTGAAAACCCAAAACAATTGCTAGTATATAACTGCACGTTTTGCATGCCAAAACGGCCAAGAGATACAATTGGCGCGATAAAAACCGCGAGGGAAACGCGTGGCGACAGCAGCAGCACAGCAGCTGTCGCTGGCTATTAAATTGTAATTAAATTATTATCTCGCCGCGGCAAAGGGGCGTGGCTGAAAATGCAGGCAACATCCGCCAATTTGTGGGTTTGTTTTCGCTTTTATTTTTTTGTTTTTCTTAGATATATTTGTATTAACTGCAACAGCAACTGCAAAGCTGTGAATGGCATGCAGTTTGCTATTGGGCATGTGTCACTTGTTTTGAGTTTTTGTTTTTCAGCAGCAGCAGCAGCCTTGACAACACGCGACCTGCTCCCCAAAATAAAAGAAATACGCTAGGAATTCGCATCGTTAATCAAGCGAATTGTATCTTTTGGAGCATTTTCAAGCATTTTAAAGTATTTTAGAGAATTACCATTAATAGCTCTTAACTGCGATCTCGTTTCGTGTGAATGTTATGGCTTTGATGGATGGCCGGTGTCTCTTGTAACGAGCTCTTTTGCAGCGTAAATAAACGAATGGCATGGAATCCGAGAGTTTTGTTTTTCCACAATTGCTCTGAGCTGTGAGCTTGTGAGCTGTGAGCTTGTGAGCCAATAAACAATAATGAGAATCGGAAAACAATCGCACCAAAAGCTAGTCAGCAAATATATATATTATATATACTCGTACAGAGTAGATCTTTGTGCCAGGAGAACCTGGCAAAACCAAACAGATCCATGACACACATCCGTTTGTGTGTGGCTTTATGGCTTATAAATGGTCGATAAAAATGTCTAAAAATATGCTAAATACGCCGCAGAGTAAACAAATCACCTTTTTCCAGCCACGAACCATAAAAATACCATAATATGGCCGCCTTCATTGGGGCGGTTTTTAAAGACGTTTTTATGAATGAACTGCAACTGCAACTGCAACGGCAATTTAAAGCGTTGGAGTACGAGTATTGAGCAGGTCGGGGCATTGGGCACTCTAAGCGATCCAGCGATTCAGCGATCCATGGGAAAGCCACCCACTCAACCGTAACTCACTCATCTAACGGCTGTCTTTCTTTCGCTTTTCCCCCCCACACACACACAAAATAAAGGGGGAAAAACGCACTTAATGCTGTCGCAGGCGGCCAAATGGCCGTAAAACTAGCGCCCAATGGTCCCTGCTTTTTCACGCCCACACTCCTCCATAACGGTCGAGAGCTGAGCTTGTTGCATGCATGTGGTTGTATGTAGTTTGATCAAGTGGCAAGCAGCTATCGAGCTGAAAAAAACAGCACTCAGCAGCCACTGGCCACTTACAACGAGCTTGTAATTAGTTGCAGATTTGCCAGCGACCTGAATCAATTGCCCGAGTTACCGTTACCAACAGCTACTTGCTACTTGCTACTTGCAACCACGACCCACTCTTCATGCTTAAACGCACATTTTCATGCCACAATGCCCACAGCACGAGGCGAGTTTGGTTTATAATCGCAAAGTCAGGATAACATAATCATATGATTGATTTAGATGGAGTAACTTCCATTCAAGTTGGAAAACTGTAGTTCAGGGTATTATTATGAAACTAAATGAATTTTATTTGAGGAAGTACCTAAATTTTAAGTTTCAGATTATTACTACAGGATTATATTTATAATGGAAAATTGGTTGCATGAACAACCCGCACTTTTATGCAACAGATCCTCAAGAAAATCAAATGATTATGTTTACATAGACTTTTTAACATTTAAATTTACAAAAATACATGTAATCAAAGTCCAAATGCGTACGCATACAAATTTATGATGATTTTCTAAAACCCAAACTTAAGCCAGTAGTCTAGTGCAACATTGTTTTCAGTTAGGAACTTGTTTAATCCCCAAGATATTGATTGGTTTTTAAGGCAAGGATTAGACCAGTCCACTCATCAGTTTTAAGTGCATTTTAGACCATAGACCATAGACCATAGATTTAGCCAGTTGCTAGTTGGTTGCAAGCGGATATCATAAACAGGGTTTATTTTCAAGTATACTGTAAAAGATACTTAAATTGCGAAGAAGCCAAGAGCACTTGGGATTAAAACTTAATGGTCAATCATATTTTTAGGCAGCAGTAATGAGTTGTTTAAAGTTTAAATAAGAGAACTGTAAACAGTAAATGCTAAACCCTGGAAGATACTTGTATTTTAATGACTATTCTTTCACTTTGCAGCCCGTTCGCTGACCTGCTACTGCGATGGCAGCTGTCCGGACAATGCCAGCAATGGAACCTGCGAGACCAGACCCGGTGGCAGCTGCTTCAGTGCCGTGCAGCAGCTGTACGACGAGACGACCGGGATGTACGAGGAGGAGCGCACATACGGATGCATGCCACCGGAAGACAACGGTGGCTTCCTCATGGTGAGTTTCCTACTTAAAAACTAATCAAAAAAAAAAAAAACTGTTTTAATAATAAATATAAATCTAAATGTTACAGTGCAAAGTGGCCGCTGTACCTCACCTGCATGGCAAGAACATCGTGTGCTGCGACAAGGAGGACTTCTGCAACCGCGACCTGCATCCCGTGTACACACCCAAGCTGACCACCCCGGCACCGGATCTGCCCGTGAGCAGCGAATCGGTGCACACGTTGGCCCTCTTCGCCTCGATCGTTGTGTGCATGTCCGTGCTGATGCTGATCCTGGCCAGCCTGTGCTTCACCTACAAGCGGCGTGAGAAGCTGCGCAAGCAACCGCGTCTGATCAGCTCCATGTGCAACTCGCAGCTGTCGCCATTGTCGCAGCTGGTGGAGCAGAGCAGTGGCTCCGGATCGGGACTGCCGCTGCTGGTGCAGCGCACCATTGCCAAGCAGATCCAGATGGTGCGACTGGTGGGCAAGGGTCGCTACGGCGAGGTCTGGCTGGCCAAATGGCGCGACGAGCGGGTGGCCGTCAAGACCTTCTTCACCACCGAGGAGGCTTCGTGGTTCCGCGAGACGGAGATCTATCAAACGGTCCTCATGCGTCACGACAACATACTCGGTTTCATTGCCGCCGACATCAAGGGTAATGGCAGCTGGACACAGATGCTACTCATCACGGACTACCACGAGATGGGCAGCCTGCACGACTATCTGTCCATGTCGGTGATCAATCCACAGAAGCTGCAGCTGCTGGCCTACTCACTGGCCTCCGGACTGGCCCATCTGCACGACGAGATCTTCGGCACTCCCGGCAAACCGGCCATTGCCCATCGCGACATCAAGAGCAAGAACATACTGGTCAAGCGGAATGGCCAGTGCGCCATCGCCGACTTCGGGTTGGCTGTCAAGTACAACTCGGAGCTGGATGTCATACACATTGCCCAGAATCCGCGTGTCGGCACACGTCGCTACATGGCCCCCGAGGTGCTGGGTCAACAGCTCGATCCCAAGCAGTTCGAGGAGTTCAAGCGGGCGGACATGTACTCTGTGGGTCTGGTTCTCTGGGAGATGGCCCGTCGCTGCTACACACCCATCTCGGGCACCAAGACAACGACCTGCGAGGACTATGCCCTGCCCTATCACGATGTGGTGCCCTCGGATCCCACGTTCGAGGACATGCACGCTGTGGTGTGCGTGAAGGGCTTCCGGCCACCGATCCCGTCGCGCTGGCAGGAGGACGATGTACTGGCCACCGTCTCCAAGATCATGCTGGAGTGCTGGCATCCGAATCCCACCGTTCGGCTGACTGCCCTGCGCGTGAAGAAGACGCTCGGACGATTGGAAACGGACTGCCTGATCGATGTGCCCATCAAGATTGTCTAGAGCCTAGGTTAAACCTACAATACATAGGTTGCATTTAGTTTTGCTGTTTCGTTCTGTATTGCGTTCAAGCATCTGCCTAGTTGTAAGTTGTAATCGTAAGTTGCCTGTACTTGAGCGGAGCAAAGCAGAGGATGTCCTTCAGAGAGGTGCCTATTTTGCGATTACTCCGCGATTACGCCGCACTGATTGTAAGCTAGAGGTTATACTATAAGAGTGCTAAGTTGACAGGAGCTAGTTGCTAAGGGCCCTTGCTAAATCTTTGGTTACAAAAATGCTTTAACTATTTGAGAAATATATAGGGAGTATGTATTTTTGATTGATGTACATATAAGTATGAGAACAAAAATCGAGCAGAATCGAAATTTACATGTAACATACTTTAACTTTAACTTTTTGTGTGCCAGCTTTTCTATGCTTTAATGTTACGATCTAAGCCCCCATGTTTTTCGGACCCCCCTTAATACACATAACTATGTGTTTGTATCTAGTGTTTAAGCGAACAACTTTGCAAACTTTGTGCAAGTGAATGCTGCCTTTTGTAAAATCCAAGGAATTAGTTGCCTTAAGACAAAGTGTAAAGACAGGAGCCTGACTCCCCTACTCCTCGCCCCTTTCAGTAGCACATTTATTTATGTATTGTAGTACATGTATCCAGAGATATACATAGATGATAATACTATATTCTCGAGAAGTGCACTTGCGTCGGCTCTTTTGTTTTGTGTAAATAGCAAAGATGTTTATAGGCCGCTAACCATACAGATATATAGTATATATATTATATATTATCGTTATAAGCGATGCTGTAAATACTATATATGTATCCTTATCTTTATCTTTATATTTATCTGTAACCGTTTAACTTATCTCTTATCGTTCTTATCGAGTAACCATTGTTTAAGCTAGAATTAGACAGTAGACTAGCCAGTAAGAGAAACTACATAAAGAAGTAAACTATGCTAACTAGATGGATATGTGTATCTTTCAGTTTTTTCTGTTTTTTCTGTTTCATTATTACTGCGCGCAGACCACAAGAACTACAGTTTGTATTAAAGCGTTTAGTTAATTTATTTAAAAATAATAAAAAATTATTATTAAACCCAAAAGCTTGTTTTTCTGTTGGTTTTTTCTTTTTCAGCCATCTCGCTACTCGCCAGCCATCATCTCCATGAATTCTGTGGGTGAATTAGTTAACATTTAGTCAATATCTATTGATATTGCGCAAAAATAACCAAGATAACTAACCATCAAAGTCCACGGTGCCAGAGCCATCGGTATCGATCTCAGCAATGATGCCATCGAGATCGCTGGAGGAGAGCTTGTCGTCGAGGGCGGCGAGAATTTCCTTGAGCGTGGAGGTGGTGATGTAACCATTGCCCTCGCGATCGTACAGACGGAAGGCCTCCTTCAGCTCCTTCTGGATGGCCTCGGCATCCTCCTCCTCCAGGAAATGGGCGGCGATGTTGCAGAAGCCATCGAAGTTCACCTTGCCGGTGTCCTCCGGATCGTTGTCGTCAATCAAAGCCTGCAGTTCGCTCTCCTCGAACATCTGGCCCATGCTATTGAGGATCGTCTTCAGGCGCAGCGTCTCAATGAAGCCCGTCTTTTGTGTGTCAAACATTTGGAATGCCTTGCGCATGATGTCCATTTTCTCATCGTCCTCCTGCAGTTACCCAATTACCCAGAAATTAGCTACCATATCACAGAACACAGATCACTAACGATTGCACAATACCATTTTGTGTATGTGTTGGCCAAGCGACAATCGGCGAGCGAGCGAGCGGGCGGTCGAGAAGAGTAGTATTCCAATCTCCAAATGCGTTCCAACTGCGTTGGCCTGCGGGCGCGCACTAAACCGATCGCCTGGCCAAGATCATTATTTATAAACAACTAATTTTTGCTTAGTGGAAGCGTCACTCATACGCAGCGTTGTCGGCAGCGGAGCAGCCGAGGAGCCGAGGAGCAGCAGTATCGCATCCATGGGTTATTGTTGGTTTGGCTCTGCCAAGCCTTTTCGGCAAAGCACTTTATTAACAGCCATTGGAATGTGAAATGCGAATATCGCTGAAGGCGGAGGCGGATGCGGAGACTGATTTTGGCCAGACGCTGATCTAAATCAGATCAAAGTGTTACAGGTGCACTGCCTGTATGATGGGTTGGTGTTTTGTCGATGGGTTGGCGATGGGGTGGCGATGGGGTGATGCCTTAAGGTCGGCCAGCGGCAAAACCGAGACGTCATCTCCATCATCTTTGGCATCGTTGGCAGCCGGAAAAACGAGCGCACAGCGCATGCCATAATTATGCAAAGAGCAGAGCAGAGCACAAATACATATACTATAGGTACTACACACCCTCGCCCCAATCCATAATTCTATCTGTATCTGTTGCTGTTGCTGTAGCTGTTTAGCTGCAAATGTATGTATGTGTCGGTCATTCAGTCAGTCACTAAAAATCGACTATAAACGTCTTCACAATCAGTCACAAAATCAGCGCGATTTTCTCACGGTAATTGTATTTTTAGTACTTTATAGCAATTTTTGTCCAAACGATCATGAGTAGTAGTGGGCCAGGCCATGCCAGATGCCATAGTCGATTCCACAGGCACTTTGCGGCTACTGCTGGCTGGCTATCCCATTGGCTATGCCCAACTATTGCTGCGGTTAACCCCACACCCAGCCGATCCTCCCCTGTTTTTTGCCGCCCACAAAATGTTGATTTGGTTTTATATTTTTTTTTTGGCTTTCAAAAGCAAACAAACAGGCATTCAGGCTGGCAAATGGACATCAAGCAAGATGGACAGGTCAGTGTGAGAAGGGATTTTGGGCGATATAGCCTTCCGCTGTGGTGGCGGTGTTTTTTTGGCAAACACAGCCAGTCAGGCAGTCAGCACCAGTATCTGGTGCTTTGATGGTCATCTGAGTTTTATTATATATGACAAAACGTGAAACACTTTTGGAATGTCAACGGGTGGGAGGGGGTTGGGAATGGGTTGGGCTGTTCTGCCAACTACTATATTAGAGTGCACTCACACACCGACAATTCGATTGTTTTTGCATAATTCTCATTACCCAAAATGTGTGTACGTGCTGCTCTTCCTTGTATAAATAGCCAAAGTGTTGGCCACAGGCGTGGCATAAGTTCTAATTCCAATGCTGACAGTTGGGTGGCATGAAATTTAAGGCTAGATTTACGACATAATTACCACTGTAAATTTTACCTGCCAGGAGTGAACTAAATTGGACTATAAAATTATGACCTTTGCTCAACTTTTCAAATTTTCAGAACTAAAAAGAGATAATTTCAGAGTAATTTTCACATTAAACTCATTACAAAAACACTAAGTATTGATTTTAATTTATGCTATTGAAATAATAGGTTTACGCGATTTTAAATAAACATTTTAGTATGCGAAATACATAAAACTATAAAATATCCCTAAAGTCTAAATTAGAAAAGGATTGAAGTATATTTAATTGGAAGAGTAGAAGATACTAAATATGATCTTCCCCTAAAACAAATTTTAATACAAAAAAACAACTTAAGCTTCTATTAAATTGACATCTACTCACTTAAGAAATTAACGAATTAAATTACTGTTTTAAGTTACTTTTCATCCATTAAATTTAACTAACATAAGCAGCTAATTATAATTTAAAACTTAAGTGAAACGGAAAGCATTCCTAATACGGCTGAACGAAACGAAATTGATTAAAATAGTTCACGCCGTCTAGAGAATTAAAAGCCAAAGTCAAAGCTAATAGAGACATTAAAGAAATCTGGAGATGATGTATAGTCTGTGGTCTTTGCTGTTTTTCATAGGTAATTGTGATAATCACACTTAAACAGAAATAAAGTCACCTTTAAGGTCCTTTTCTCAGTCTTTTCAAGTCAAGAACCTCGCGATGAACCTGGCATTGCAGTTTCTAGTTTTGAAGATGAGGGTTCAATGGGGAGCTGCTGGAGTTTGCGTGATGAAAAATGTCCCAATCCCGATATTAACTTTTGGCTTTTCACGTAAGAACAAAAAAGTGAGCAAGTCAGAAGCAAAATGCTTTTGTATCCAACCATCTTTGCAGAAAAGCAAATCCAGATGGGATGAAGCTCTCACTGGATAATCTACCCATAGACAAATTGCTACCCCTCAAACCGCTCAAAGTGTTGGTCCATGGATTCGATGGTCACCGGCATTACACTCCCAACTTCCAGCTACGTCCGAGGTTTCTTGAGCTGGACATGAATGTGATCTCCTTGGACTTTCCGAAACTGGTTAAATCGCCCTGCTACTCGGAGGCGGTGCACAATGCCAAATATGTGGGTCGCTGTACTGCCCACTTTCTGACCACACTGCTCGAAAGGAAATTGGTTGCAATTGAGGGTCTGCATTTGATCGGCTTCGGCTTGGGCGCTCATGTGGCAGGGTTTGTGGGTAACTTTATGACCAAATACCGGCTGGAACACATCACGGGGCTCGATCCGGCTAAGCCGTACTACCTGGTCAACGATACGGCCGAAAAACTCGATCGCAGTGACGCCAAATTTGTGGACGTCGTGCACACGGATGTGATGATGATGGGCCTACTCGAGGCATTGGGCCACGTGGACTTTTACTTGAATATGGGCGTAACACAGCCCAATTGCGGAGCCGTTAACAGCAGTAAGTACATTGATAAAAAAAAAACATTAAATACTAAAAAGAAATTAAAGTCATTTGAACCTGAAAGTTTTGGGTTGGATCAAATTTCGAAAAAAATGATGATGGTACCCCTTATAAAAAATGCTAAAATTGGCGACCTCAAAAAAATGGGTTTAAATTTCAGTTTTTTGATCAAAACTATGGAATATAATGGTTTAATGTTGGAATGCCATACATCGTTGAATTCGTCATAAAATTTCCAACAAACTGGCATTCACAGCTCAAAAATTTTGGGTTGGATCAAATTTCGAAAAAAATGATGATGGTACCCTTATAAAAAATGCTAAAATTGGCGACCTCCAAAAAATGAGTTTAAATTTCAGTTTTTTGATCAAAACTATGGAATATAATGGTTTAATGTTGGAATGCCATACATCGTTGAATTCGTCATAAAATTTCCAACAAACTGGCATTCACAGCTCAAAAATTTTGGGTTGGATCAAATTTCGAAAAAAATGATGATGGTACCCCTTATAAAAAATGCTAAAATTGGCGACCTCCAAAAAATGAGTTTAAATTTCAGTTTTTTGATCAAAACTATGGAATATAATGGTTTAATGTTGGAATGCCATACATCGTTGAATTCGTCATAAAATTTCCAACAAACTGGCATTCACAGCTCAAAAATTTTGGGTTGGATCAAATTTCGAAAAAAATGATGATGGTACCCCTTATAAAAAATGCTAAAATTGGCGACCTCCAAAAAATGAGTTTAAATTTCAGTTTTTTGATCAAAACTATGGAATATAATGGTTTAATGTTGGAATGCCATACATCGTTGAATTCGTCATAAAATTTCCAACAAACTGGCATTCACAGCTCAAAAATTTTGGGTTGGATCAAATTTCGAAAAAAATGATGATGGTACCCCTTATAAAAAATGCTAAAATTGGCGACCTCCAAAAAATGTGTTTAAATTTTAGTTTTTTATCAAAACTATGGAATATAATGGTTTAATGTTGGAATGCCATACATCGTTGAATTCGTCATAAAATTTCCAACAAACTGGCATTCACAGCTCAAAAATTTTGGGTTGGATCAAATTTCGAAAAAAATGATGATGGTACCCCTTATAAAAAATGCTAAAATTGGCGACCTCAAAAAAATGGGTTTAAATTTCAGTTTTTTGATCAAAACTATGGAATATAATGGTTTAATGTTGGAATGCCATACATCGTTGAATTCGTCATAAAATTTCCAACAAACTGGCATTCACAGCTCAAAAATTTTGGGTTGGATCAAATTTCGAAAAAAATGATGATGGTACCCCTTATAAAAAATGCTAAAATTGGCGACCTCCAAAAAATGAGTTTAAATTTCAGTTTTTTTATCAAAACTATGGAATATAATGGTTTAATGTTGGAATGCCATACATCGTTGAATTCGTCATAAAATTTCCAACAAACTGGCATTCACAGCTCAAAAATTTTGGGTTGGATCAAATTTCGAAAAAAATGATGATGGTACCCCTTATAAAAAATGCTAAAATTGGCGACCTCCAAAAAATGAGTTTAAATTTCAGTTTTTTGATCAAAACTATGGAATATAATGGTTTAATGTTGGAATGCCATACATCGTTGAATTCGTCATAAAATTTCCAACAAACTGGCATTCACAGCTCAAAAATTTTGGGTTGGATCAAATTTCGAAAAAAATGATGATGGTACCCCTTATAAAAAATGCTAAAATTGGCGACCTCCAAAAAATGAGTTTAAATTTCAGTTTTTTGATCAAAACTATGGAATATAATGGTTTAATGTTGGAATGCCATACATCGTTGAATTCGTCATAAAATTTCCAACAAACTGGCATTCACAGCTCAAAAATTTTGGGTTGGATCAAATTTCGAAAAAAATGATGATGGTACCCTTATAAAAAATGCTAAAATTGGCGACCTCCAAAAAATGAGTTTAAATTTCAGTTTTTTTATCAAAACTATGGAATATAATGGTTTAATGTTGGAATGCCATACATCGTTGAATTCGTCATAAAATTTCCAACAAACTGGCATTCACAGCTCAAAAATTTTGGGTTGGATCAAATTTCGAAAAAAATGATGATGGTACCCCTTATAAAAAATGCTAAAATTGGCGACCTCAAAAAAATGGGTTTAAATTTCAGTTTTTTGATCAAAACTATGGAATATAATGGTTTAATGTTGGAATGCCATACATCGT